GCGGGAGAAAACCGGCGGGAAAACAAAGCGGTGCATGTCTGAAATGCCAAACCGCTTCTGATCTGGCTCATTTCTGGTAGGGGCAAGCCATGTGTGAAATGGCAGCCCTGTACCGGTTCACCTCAAAACGGAAGATTACCGGCTTGAAACCGGGAGAAACAGGGTAATGTGAAATTCCCCAGTATGCGTGAGAAAAGCTAACTTCCTTTTCCTTGCATGCCATAGACCTGATCGGAATGTGGCCTGTGTGCATGTGTAAATTAAGTTCCCAGTGGGGAACTTCCTATACATGTTTGATAGAAAAATGTCAGGTAGCCATGATGAGGACTTCATGGTATGTGATTCAACCCTTAGAGATCCTTGTGGATCCTTAGCAAGTTTGAACATGGTCTCAGAGTAGTTTCAGTCCATGAGCTTCTTTGTCTATGTCCATGGTTATGTGAAAATACAGGTTATGACAGAGAACTCAAAGAACTCAGCTCCCTGGGAATCTAATCTTGATTTTCTGCCAAGCAGAAAATCCTTTAAGACACTGAAAGGCTGGACAACACTTCCAATTACCATGTCAGATTACACAGGGAAGCCATTGAAATTCATAAACATAAACACAATTTCAACAGGAAAGAAGAGAGTTTAAAAATAGGGCATGGTTTCCTGTCCTGAAAGACGCAAAATCTGACAATAGCACTACAGATAAGATTAGAATTTCAACAGCCAATCCACATACAAAAGAACCTCCTCAGGAAAGCTCCTCCATTAGCATGTTCATAGCCTGGGGAACTCCTACAAGATAATGACTCAGCCCTACCCCACCTTCTGGAGTAGATATAAATTACCTGCCTACCATTTTTCTTCTCACCTTGAGACAGAGAGTACTCCATCTTTCTGTGTTATACCTCTGAGGATACCAGTCACAGCTACTGGCGAAACGTCAGGTTCTACAATGCCAAGACCATGGCCACACAACCCGGAAAATCTACAGCAACTAATCTAATCTTTCGTTTTTTAAAAAAACCAAGTCTCTAGCCCATATGTCTGCGAAGATCAGCTTTTAAGTTTGTGAACTTTGCCTGATGAAATCTTGCGAGCCAGAGGAGTTGCTGAACAAGATTTCCACAGAGCAGAGCACCTTGTAGAGCTTCTTGTACTTATAGCTGGTTGATGCATAATGAATTCTGAAAAACAGTGGCAGTTGCAGAATAAGATATGCAGACTAAGAGAAATGATGCAGATAATTTGTGTGAAGTGCTGAATCCAGCATTTGTTTGGATGGAATTCCCTGGGGCAGGATGCTTGAAGACCACTGTAAACTATAGTTAACAGTCTTACCCATAATATGAGTTTAAGCCTAGTTAATGAACACTATCCGAGCAAGTTTTATAGTCGATCCTGGGTCCTGTCCTTCTGCTTAGGTTAGAAACCCTCCTAAGAGGCAATTGAAACTTCCAGAAAAAGCGGTATTTCTTCAATTGGACCACTTCAGAATGATGGTGCAGGATTCATCCTGATTTATTAGATTTCCACATGCAAGGGCTTTTAGTCCAGGAAGAAACGTTCAAAGACAGGATCTCCGAGTCCTTTCTCAGTATGTGCAGTCTTGGAGGACGTGTCACCCTCCTCCACTGGAAGTTTTTAATGATTGAATTGATTGTCAGATGTTTGTCTGGAAAAGCACATAGTCTGCAGATTGTTCCTGTATTCCAAAGGTGAATGTGGCCGTTGGCCTTGGGAGCAACTGTTTTTTACATGTTTACATAGCTAGGGCTCCACACAGCTGTTTGCAACTTTCTCCCTGCCTTTCGAAATTCAAAGAGGCAACTGCAGCCCAAGTGTTTGAAATTATCATTTCATACCACGTGGTCACTTTTGAGAGAAAATGCAGATGACGGGATTCCTGGTAGGCTGTTGGAGACGGGCCCTAGTGTAGACACTGAGCACCTGCTTGGAATGCAGAAGATTCAGCTGCAGAACCCTCTATTAAAGGGATCTTGAGACCTAACTACATATTACAAAGTCCTTGTGCGTGCCTCCCGTGCGTCTGCCTCGGGTGCTGTAAAGCTGACGTTCTAGGAGTTCCCAGGTGCATGGAGGCCTAATTTAGATTGGGACTGTTGTGCAGGGGGAAAGAGAGCCTAAGCTTCCTCTTGTGCTGTTTTCCTGATCTGAAATGGCCCAGGAGATCCTCTGTTTGCTCCACTGGAGAAACAGACATATAGTGATCGGCTAAGGGCGCGAAACTAGAGGATATGTATGACAAAAGCCAAGTCACAACCCAACCCAGGCTGCAAATGCAATATCAGGGAACTAACGTTTCCAAGTGCTCCAGGGTCTAATTCGGCACAGGAGCACAGTGCAGGGAAAGGAGGGGCTTCAGTCTTCTGTCCCATGCTGTTTTCTTGAGCCAAAATGGTTGTGGAGGGGTCCTGTTTGCCCCGCTGTGGGGCTTCATCTGCACTGACTGGAACATGTGGCCGTTTCGTCTCAGGAAAATGGTGTGGGATGTCCCTGTTTGCTTCATGGAGGGGCTGCACATGTGTTGACTGCCGCATGTAGGGCCCCACAGCAGGGCAAATGGGGCCTCCCACAGCAGTTTCAACTCTGGAAAACAGTGTGGGAGGAAAGGCTGAGGCTCCTCCTCTCCCTTTACCACACTCCCAAGCCAAATTGGGCCCCAGAGAGCTTGGAAACTTTAGTTCCCTGACGTTTCATGTGACTGCCAGTTGGGCCGAGAGACCCATGACCAATGTTCCCTCTAAGCTGTGGAGTCTTGTGAGCAAAAATTCTACTTTGTGAGCTGCTGGCATTAAAGTTGTGAGCGATCTATTTGGCTACTGGATAAATTAGTTTGCTCTGGAGCCATCCTTCCTGAGCCAAGACAAAAATGTGTGAGCCGGAGGCTAAAAAACTGTGAGCTAGCTCACACTAACTCAGCTTAGAGGGAACACTGCCCATGACCTGGATCGTGTCACACATATCATCTAGCTGAGCCCTGTGTTTCCCTAGCAGAACAAATAACCTCTTCTTGGGGCAGTGTCAAGTCAGGAAAAAGGCGTAGGAGGGAAGACTTAAGTCCTCTCTGCCCATGTGCTGTAGTTGCTATCCCAGTTGCTCCCACGTATGCCTGTGAATTAAATTCAAGGTCCAGAATACCCAGAGCACGTCTGATTGACAGGGCTGGGGCAGGCTGAAAGGGGGACTCAAGGACTGTGTAATGTGTAGGTAGGTACTTAGACTGCAGGGCCAGTGGGAAAAAATTCTGGCTGAGATGTTTGAGATTTGCTGGTAGTTGGCGTAGACAGAATTGGGCTACATAAACCATCATGCTCTCATTGGACTGCTTGGCAGAAAGGATAGGAATATATTCTCCAAAATGCCAACAAAGTCAGGGCAGTTACCTTTTCTAATGGCCCCCTGCTCCTGTGACTTTAACAATAGGTTGATGTTCCCTCTAAGCTGTGGAGTCTTGTGAGCAACAATCCTACTTGGTGAGCTCCTGGCATTAAAGTTGTGAGTGAGCGATGTGGCTGCTGCATAAATTAGTTTGCTCTGGAGCCCTCCTCCCTGAGCCAAGACAAAAATATGTGAGCTGGAGGCTAAAAAACTTTGAGCTAGCTCACACTAACTCAGCTTAGAGGGAACACTGGTTGAAACATAGACATTAAGCGGGTAAAATCTTCCCCTGTGACTTTACACAAGGAAAAGCTTTCCTGAGTGCCTTTGTGTGCTTACTTATTTACTTAGCTAGTAGGTCAGGTGGAAGGTTGGAGACAGGCCCAAGGTTACCCAGCATGCTTCCATGACAAGAGCATGGATTTGAACCTGGGTCTCCCAGATCCTAGTATGACACTCTAGCCACTGCACCACACTGGCTCTCACTGAAGGCACGGGAGTGGGTCAGCAAGTACCAATTTGAGATCCACCTCTGTTTGTTATAGGGATGAGTCCTTTTGTGACTCAGCCGAGATTGTTTGCTGATATCCCTATTGATTTCAAGCCACTGCTTTTCTTATCTGCTAGAAAAAAATCAACATGAAGAACTCAAAGGAATTTGACGCTCCAGTTTTCAGTGGCAGCGATTACTGCTTCAGCGCCCGAGCGGTTTTAAACAACGTACACAGCAACTTCTCTGAGCCAATTTGCATCCAACTGCACAGCAAAGGTACAGCCCTGCAAAGAGAGACTAAGCATCTGTACAAAGGCTGCAGTTCCCAGCCATTTCCCTCTGATCTAGCAAGTCAGAGCCATATAGGGAATGCCCAGCAGATGTGCTCATCTTGGCCCCACTGAAATGACTAAAATGCATCTTTTGATGAGGATGTGGCTTCTTCCCTAAGTGGCAAGAAGTTGCAGAGGAAGTGCTATAGTTTTTAGTTTCCTTTTCACCAGAACACTGAAGATTCAGTGTCTTTGTCATCCTTGCAAATAACGCAGTGATCAGAAACAGAGTAAATATTGGAAGCAAATGGCACTTCGCACAACAAACCCACCAACTCTGTATCAGATTTCCTCCCATTTGTCCTGAACTGCTTCACATGTTACAAAGTCCTTGTGTCCTCCAAGTGGCAACCACAGGGTCAGGGTGTTTCATTCTTACAGCTGGATTCCCAAGTATGCAGGGCCCTATTCAAACTGGCACCACAGGAGGAACGGCCTTAAGCCTTCCCTGCACCATTTTTTGGACATGAAACTGCCCCGGGGGGAGCTGTTGGTTGCCCCACTGCGGAAATTTACATCTATATTTGGCTACACATTATGTTTCCCCAATGAAGCAAATGGTGACTTCCCAGACTATTTCAGATTGGGAAAATGACATGAAGTAGGGGCAGCTTAGGTTTTCTTGCTGTCTCTCTCTCTCTCTGTGTGTGTGTGCACACAATAGTCCTGATCCAAACTGAGCTCATGCCCACCTGGGAAGCAGGGACTCCCAGAACACCTCTGATCAAAAATCCTTTTGGCAGCCACAAAGACCCATGGGAATTATAGTTTGGAGAGTATGCTGAGGACTAGAGATATGTAGCTGCCCCCTCTGCTTGCCACACATAACCATGGTTCCCTCTGAGGAAGGGGAACGTTAACCCAGTTTTTAGGTTAGATGTATCCCCTCTATTAGTATATGAAGAACATTTCACAGTTTCTGAGCTGCTTCTATTTTGTTTTCTTTTGCAGCAGACACAGCATTTGCTGTGGTCCCAGTGCTACTTTTGTTCATCTTGTTTGTTTGCATCATCCTTTCTCTCTGCCGGTCCAGAGGTACACCTATGGCTGTCAAAAAACCCCAAGCTTTGGTATGGAAAGTATGGCTGCCTTTGAAATATAGAAAGCAGAAGGTAGATTCCCCAGTTAATATCCAATCAGCAATTCTTATCCAAGAGCCTGGCAAAGTTCATTCACCTTCCCAATACCAGGGGAGATAGATCACCAGGCAGATGGGTGGAGGAGTGGGTTAAAATTTCCCCAGCTATGAAAGTAGTTTCTGCAATGAGGTCTCAGCCACAGAGCACATCTGGAAAACTCTGCCTGCTGCACTCCAAATGTTCTATCATTTTAAAAAAAGTCTCCACCCAGTTTACCTGAGCAGTGGTTCTTAAACATCTTAAAGTAGGACCAATTTCTAAATTTACGATAGATTTTGGACCTTCTTCACCCCCTACTGTAGGTTTTGGGACCCCTTTGCAAAGCTATGCCATGCTGTTTTCTCCCTCCCCATTGTCAAATACAGGAATATCACATCAGCTAACACTGAAGAAGTTTACTTTTTTTCCCCCGTGTCTGGTGTTTTATATCATATTAGTGATCTACTCGCTGCATTGCATGGCTATTCCACCACACATTATGCAGAGGCAAACCCAAATTTGCCATCCAGGCTCCCAGAGCCACCTCCTTCCAGTTCACCCCCTTTCTCCTCTTCCTTCCTTCCTTCTAGCCTCATGACCCAGCTGTCAGAGAGTCACAGCCCACTTTGGGAAGGGGTGTGGCATGCAGAAGGTTCCAGGCTCGATCTCTGGCATCCCCTTTTAAAGCATCTGGCTGTAGGTGATGTGAAAGACCTCTGCCAGAGACCCTAGGGAGCTGCTGCCAGTCTGAATAGATGGTACTGCATTTGGATGGACCCAAGGGTCTGATTCAATATAAGGCAGCTGCATGCGTTTACTTTCAGGGCCCAGCTCACAGTTTGAGAACCACACTGACGTGGAGCCTTCTCTAATGCAGTAGTTTTCAGTCTGTGTTTTGGGGATTTCTGGTGTTCCTCAGTGAGCAGGCCACTAATGGCAGAGAGCATCTTAAAGGACAGCCCATGTAGACCAATGTAACCCACATAAGTGTGCCAAGATCTCAGTCAGAGTGTTTGCGCAAGATCCTTTAACTGGAGATAAACCAAGAAAAAAGGGGGAGGAGGACTCAACCAACTTGATTACTACCTTTGATGGAAGAGACACACATCCAGACACATGGGATATTTGTTGCTAGAAAAATTTGGAGAGTGTGTGGTGTTACCATGAGAGATTATCCATGGCCTACTGTGTAAACTTTTAGCAATTGCACATCACAGAAGAAAGCCAACACCTGGCTCTAAAGAAAATATTTTTTCATATATTCATTTCTGGAGGTGTGTTGTTTTACAATAGTAAGATTGACCACTGAGGAAGGCCCTAAGGGGCCGAAATGCATATGGTCTACTGGTCATAAGATATACCCATCAATTGTATATGTAAAACTATCGGCTCTGTGTGTAAAAAGTTTTAAGAGTCTGATATTTGGATCATTTCTTTTAACCTATTTTATCTTTTGCTAATGTTCCAGCTCCTGCCAACCTAGCAGTTCGAAAGCAAGAAATTGCGAGTAGATAAATAGGTACCACTTCGGTGGGAAGGTAACAGCGTTCCGTGCGCCGTGGTGTTTAGTCATGCCAGCCACATGACCACGGAAACGTCTTCGGACAGCGCTGGCTCTTTGTCTTTGAAACGGAGATGAGCACCGCAACCCTAGAGTCGGATCCGACTGGCTTTCGAGCAAGGGAACCTTTACCTTTACACCATAATAAATATTTGTATTTTTATAATAACTTATTTTGTTAGTTTGACCCTCATATATCACAACCTTTAACTGCAGATGCCAGAGAATGAATTTAGAAGATTCTACATGCAAAGCATGTACACATTCCCCCACCCCACCCCCGCTGTGTGTTGTTGGCCCGTTTCCATAGCTCATTGTTTTAATAGATGGCATTTAGAGGCTGATAGTCATACAAGGATATTGAATATTTCACGACTGACAGCTTATGAGATTCCATCTATAACATCCATCTAAGTCCATTGCAGTAAATGAGAAGAGAACAGCTCTCTTTAGGATTGTACTGAGGATTTTGGAAGAGGAACTTTCTCATTTGAAACATAAATGTAGGAACTGGAAATGTGGCTGAATTTTGAATGCTTGCCAGTGTTTGTTTTTGCTATTCGTGCACAAGTCTGTAATTTCTATATGTTTCAACTTTTTCTTTTTAAGAAAGGGTTTAAAAAGTAAAAGACTGAACTGTTTGCCTCCAAATGATCAACTGTATTCTGTCTCCCCAATTAGGATTTTTCCAGCTTTAAATGTCCGAAGAAGTTCCTGGAATTCACTGAAAAGGAATTAATCAGTGTCTTGACAGGCACTAGACACCCTGTTGTAGTAGAAAATGGGAGCAGGCTTACACATTCACAGTTGATTCCTTCTGTGTTAGAAGAATACGAGGATGAAGAGGAGGAGGAGGAAGATATTGGCAGTTCCAGACCATACACTGAAATGCATCGATTCCAGAAGAATGACATTCACAGCCAGATGGTTGGCCTTGGTGAGAAAGAACCCGATTCATGCTCTGAATCGGACAGTTCTCAGCTGGGCGAAGGCTCCATGCCAGATCAAATGATGCCTGGGTTCTTTGTTTTGTCAAACTCAGTCTTTGGAGAGGTGACTTCCAGGTTCCAATGGAATGAGATGACTTCGCTTTCTGCAGGTTTCTCTTCAGAGGAATCCTCTGTATGTCCAGACATTTACCCAATTGCTCAAAGGGGAGGACAGGAAGATTTGGATGAGGGTACAGACTTCTTGTTTCAGGTGTCGGACTCTAACCTTCCCACTAGGAAGCTATGCATGCCTTCAGAAAGTTTTCATGAAGCCAGCTGTGGAATCCTGGGAAACCCACAAATATCACTGTTTGGAGTACAAAGCAATCAGGAGTTCTATGACCTCCTTCTTGAGGATGAGGAACTATCTGAAAATGACTCTTGTGGTTGTGGAAGTCCCGTGGTTGAATTCTCTCCTTTGAAGGTGCCTTCTAGAGAAGGCTTGGAAAGCAGTATGCTGAGTAGAAGCAGGAAGTCTGTAGAGGACAGTTCTCCAGAACATAAATCCCATGGCTATCAGCCCAGGCCTGTGCATTATCTTTCAAGAACTTTACAGAGATGACTGATATCCTCCTCAGAGTACCCACAGGAATTAGAAGGCCCCCCCCATCAAAACTAGGGTTGCAAATTTTGCACTAAAATGTCCAATTTCTATTATTATTATTATTATTTTATTGCATTTATACCCCGCCCTCCCCGCGAACGAGCTCAGGGCAGCTCACACAGAGCACAAAGTGCATACAGTATATAAAAGTTAAAACAGTTAAAAATCGGTTCCAACGGATGCACATATAAAACTCCCAACATCTCGCATAGCAGAGGGGAAGGCTAGGGTCATGGAAAGATGTTACCCAGCCCTCCAGCGGTATCTCTCTGAAGGAGCGGTGGTGGAAGTGGCTGTGGCGGCTCCTACTCGTAAGCCTGGCGGAAGAGCTCCGTCTTACAGGCCCTGCGGAACTGCACAAGGTCCCGCAGGGCCCTGATCTCCTCCGGGAGCTCATTCCACCAGATAGGAGCCGCCACTGAAAAGGACCTGGCCCTTGTTGCCGCAAGCTTGGCCTCCTTAGGGCCAGGGGTCACCAGCCAGTGTTGTGACCCTGACCAAAGTGCTCTTTGGGGCATATATGGGGAAATGCAGTCCCTCAGGTATGTCGGACCCTGGCCATATAGGGCTTTAAAGGTAAGAACCAGCACTTTGAAGCGAATCCGGTATGCTATAGGCAGCCAGTGCAGTGCTTTCAGTACAGGTCGGGTGTGCTCCCAGCTAGGGACGCCCACCAACAGCCTGGCCGCAGCATTCTGCACCAGCTGCAGCTTCTGGATTTGCAACAGAGGCAGCCCCATGTAGAGACCATTACAGTAGTCTAGCCTCAAGGTGACCATCACATGGATCACTGTAGCTAGGTCATTG